AGTGTTCTCAAGCTCACTGTTTACATCTAAAGGGAAAAGTGTGTCATCACACATGCAGTGGAGATAGGACATGCCCGAGGCTGGACTCCTCTCCCTACCCTTCTCGTGAGTGTTTTGTTGGAAACTCTGTGGTGACCTTGGCTCTGCTTCCGTTTCTTTTTTGCCAACAGCGAGAACAATCTTCAGGAAGACCTCTTCGACCAGATCCTGGCCGGGAAGCTCGAGTTCCCAGCACCCTACTGGGATAACATCACGGACTCCGCAAAGGTACGCTCCAGGCCTGTCTGTGGGCTCGTCATGTCCAAGGGTCCTCAGCCCATGTGGGGCTTGTAGGAGGCAGACAATTTATATCTCCCTCCTATATAGATATTTCTCTCTCTCCTCCCCCACTCCATTCTCATCATTGATGTTTCTCCCTTTCTCTCTTTCTCTCTTCATTCTCATCATTGATGTTTCTATCTCTCCCTTCCTCTCTGAAATTAATAAGAAATATATTTAAAAAACTAGCTCCAAGTCTGTTCTTGACTTTGAACCATGGTTCTTCTCAAGTTCATTCCATAGTATCGTCTCGGACACGGTTAACCAGGTTCTGGAAGCTGGCCTGGCTCTCCTCCCAGCGGGCGTCCGCCATCCTCCTTTGCTCCTTTATGTCCTAAACATTTGTTCATTTATTCAAAAAATACGCACTATGCACCAGCAGAACATGGGGGTACATTCGTGAGACAGACTGAATTGCCAGAAGGAATAGCAGCGCAGTGTTACATTGTGGAAGGGTGGCAATGACCAGAGCTCTTCGGGGAGAACATCTGGGTGTAAGGTGGGCCCAGGAGAAACTTTCCTCTCACGCTGCCCGAGTGAGGCAGCTGTGCCTGCGGACCCGCCTGGCGGGCGCTGGGAGTGGAGGCAATAATAGCTCTTCAGCTCAAATGTCTGAGCAGTGTGCTGGCTGTTCCTTGAAGTACTTGGTGCAAACTCCGATTTCTGTATTTACGCTGGAATTGTCGCCCTTTGGTCACTCACCTCTGTTGCCTTCTTCATTTCTTTCCAGGAATTAATCAGCCAGATGCTTCAGGTCAACGTCGAAGCGCGGTGTACTGCAGGACAAATCCTGAGCCACCCCTGGGTGTCGGTAGGTACCCGCATTCCCGGGAGTGACCTCACCTGCGCGTCGCGTGGCTGACGGCGTGCTTCCTCGCCACGGCTCTTGCACGGGCGAAGCTCTGCACCCACTTCCATGGCAGGTAGATGCCTGTTCTCTCCGTGGAGGGCTCCTCTGGAGCAGTTGGCACCAGGGTCTTCGATCCTGCTCTGTGTGTGGCCCGGGAAGCCACCGTCACTTTCTCCGCCTCAGTTCCCAGCACTGCAGAAGGAAGGGGTTGGCTGGGCTGTCCTCTAAGGAGCCTTTCAGCTTTGCCTTCTGTGGCTCTTAGGGCTCAGGGTTTTCAGGATTTGGCCAGAGAGGAGCATGTTTCAGACCCTGATCCCTCTGTCTCCAGGATCATGGCCACAGGAGCCCCGACATGTGTGGGGAGTGAGGCACAGCCCGTTCCAGAGCCGGGCGGGCGGAGGGTGTGTCCTGTTGACTAGGGTTCTTTGGACTTAGGCGGTGCCTATGGGTTTAGGGCAAACAGGGTCCTGTGAACAGTGACCCTGGGAAGTCGGCGCCCCCTAGCTCGGGAGGCCCCCAGAGCGTGAGGGTAATTAACTCTGCCAGGACCTCAGGAGCCCGGTGGATGGTGTGGGTCTCTCTGAGGGCCCAGAGCTGCAGAGTAACAGGGTCATTGTTCATAGGTCGTGGTTCCCCTGACCTCGTGGCTAAGATGGGCCATTTGGAAGAGACGGTGGTGGTGGTGGTGGGTGGTGTGTGCCTGCCTGTTAAGGAATAGACAAGGGAGCCCTGAAAATCCAAACCACTGTATTCCATTCCTTTCTGTAGGATGACGCCTCCCAGGAGAATAATATGCAGGCTGAAGTGACAGGTAAACTAAAACAGCACTTTAATAACGCGCTTCCCAAACAGAACAGCACCACCACCGGGGTCTCCGTGATCATGGTAAGTGGGGGTGCCGTGTCCGGCCTCTCGGCCAACCCTGATGCCTGGGAAGTAAATAGCTAAAGAGCTTCCCGCACATGGAAGCTGGTACCTTCCATGTCCTCTTCTCACTGCGAGGTGGGCTTGGCATGGGAGGTGCACAGGGTGGGAAATTGCACAGATACCAGCGAGGCCAGGCCATGGGTCCCGCCCAGGCGCTCCTGCCTGTCTGGGCCCAGTGCCCTCGGGTGGTGGCTGCTGCTTTCCCCTCTGGGGGTGTACAGCACCAGGAAGGAACCCCCTGCCTGCCCTGAGGCTTCCAAAACAGAAGACCGGAGGTGCGAATTATTCTTCGATGTTTAGGATAAGAAACAGCCCAAGTTAAACAAATGCCATTTTTAAAAATCGGTCTATTGTGGCTTTTAAAAGTACGGAACACTGTAGAGAAATTGGTTTTTTCAGAGTAGAATGTTAGAAGTCTGGAACAACGATTGCCATATTTTTTCAGGCCTTCCTTCTTCCAGAGTGTTTTCCAGGCAGTTTACCGAAATCCACAAACACAACCAGTTTACGTAAGTGCAGCGAAAGGGAAATCAGGGCAGAAGAGACAAAGCAGCCAGAATTGGGCTCAGCACCCCCAGCTACGCTGTCAGACCTGAGCCCTTGGCAAAGGGGGACCACGCAGCCAGCTCTGAGCAGCCCCGCACCCGCTCATGGAGCCGGGTGTGAAACAGCCAGCATCTGGGCCTGGGCACTCCATCTGCCCACACCCCTCACAGGCTGGGGAGCAAGGAGGGATGGCCCCTCCGCCACCCCCCAGGGCCAGAGACTCAGCTGGGGTGTCCTCACCATCAGACCTTCTAACATCTAGGCCACTCCTGACAGCCTTGGGTCTTAGCAGCACCTACGGCCACCTGGCGGCCTGGCGGCTCCTGCTGGCCGCCTCCCAGCTCCATCCTCCTCAGGGCAGGACAGGCCCCGCCCCTCTGGGAAGGTTTGCTTCGCTTCCTGACCAACTGGAAGGAAACCAGTTGCTTATTTTCCTGGGGCACTGCAGTCTAGGAACCTAAGGCTATCCCCCCCCCATAGGAGTTGGGGTGGGAGCACACGCCTCCCCTCCCCGGTGAAGACGAAATACAGCTGCCGAGTATCCACCACCTTCTTGGCCTCGCTGGTCTGTCCCTCCTCCGTCCCCGGGGGAGGCTGCGAGCACTTGGCAGCCCTCTGTCCCTGCACCTCCCTCAGCTCTCCCTGCTGGAAAGCTTGCTCCCCTCCTCCCACCCCTCCCCCAGACAAAGCCTGCAAACAGGATCTTTTGACACGTTTCAGGACTTTGGAGCGTTCTGTGCCAAAATCTGGGAAGGCCTCTTGAGTTGTGGTTTTCCTGGCGTTTCAGCCGTGCTCGCAGAAACCCGAGAAAGGCGGCGTTGTCACAGAACGGCAGCTTACACACTTTGAAAAGAACCATCTTTCCCCCCAAATTTAATAGAAAGTTTATTTAGAAAGTCACAGGGGTGGTAGCAGTGAGCCATAGAGGAACAGCATAAGAAGGGCCCTTGGGTTTTAAGGGAAATGGAGACAAAGAAAATGGGCTGGGGGAGGGGGAGGTGCGAAGGTGAGATAGA